ACAGAGCGGGAGAGAGATGGAGTGAGGCGAATGAGAGAAGAGGAGCACTAAATGACAGACACCATCATCATTATATAACCTCAGTCAAAGTCACAGACAATGAAAAGACTGCGGGCGAAGTCCTGGTTCGATTTACTTAAGGCATAGTTTCTGTGTGCGCATGTATTGTCCTTAGCCCTGCCAAGAAAAGACCCTGACACTTATGCAACAGTGTGATCCTATACACAAACATGCATACACAATAGAAGGTATATATTGATAAAAGCTCACAAATAGACAACATATGTATCAGCTGAGGCACAGACACTCCCACCATTTAGGATACATTTCAGGGCTGAGGGAGCAGGGCTTTGGCTTTAGCCAGACAGTAAAACAGCTGTGACCATGCAGGCTTGGCTTCCTGCTCCATAGCTCTGATCCAGCCTACTAACACAGGACGCTACCCAGCTGGGAGCAACACAGCACAGGCACCGGGTCAGGGCTCCTCTGACTTGAATCTTTGAACAGACCCAGTGAAACATGGGTCTATCATTGCAGCCTTTCATTTATTTCCCTCACTCGCCAATTTTGGGTCAAACCTGCCAACTTTTTCTGGGTAATCTTGTGAACGCAGGGGAGATAGACACCTGTGTTTGAGCTCAACATGGTTATCAAGATTATTTTGACGGTACAGAGGCTACAGGTCACCGAGAATTTGAGCACCTGCACCGCTCACAACCAGAACACATGTGTATGCACCCAGATGCATTTAGTTTGTGGATTTGCCAAGTGGTTTTTCATTGACAGCATCGACTGAGCATTCCCTCCTCACTTGTCATCATCAGGAATATCATGTGCTGTGAAACAGTATGGATCTCTTCCACCAGGACAGGAAATCTTTGGGAGTGCCCATTGATCTGAATCAACCACCCCTTGCTCACCAGCTATCAATCAACGTCGAATTAACGGTTTTACGTTACCGCGCAATGTACCAGGCTCCCAGCACGGCCCAGTTAAATTGTGCATATGTGTGCATGTGTAAATAAATGAAAAGAAAGACAAATGAGAGATTTTTCTTTAACTCTCCCATACAGAGACACAAAAACACAACCAAACACTGCAACAGGGAAACTCTCAGTCAGAGTTACAAACTGGCCAGCCCTTTTCTGACATAGAGACAGCAAAAACAGTTGGAGGCTGGCTTAAATGCCTTGTAAGCCCGGTGAACCCAGAACAAGAACTCTCCAGCAGATAGACAGAAACAAAGAGAGCTAAACAGAGAAAGCAAGACGCAACATCACAGGCAGCTTTTTGTCAGATGAACAGTCAATATAAAAGCCCCTGAAGCACAGATAGTTTCACTCCCTAAATGTCAATCAAAGAATCAAGAAGCCTACACATCAACCTCCAACTCCTGGCTTGTCAATATCCAAGTCTTGCAAAAAAAAAAAAAAAAACAGCGACTTACGCTGGATTAACAGCCAGTGTTTTCCAGACAATAGGCCTCTATTCCACTAATCAACAGCCTTCAGGAACAAAGTAAAGGCAAAGCACGGCAGTGTTTTCCGACGCATTAGGGGAACAGAGCGGTGATTCAGCCCGTCTTAAGTCATTGCATGGCAAAAACACAAATCCACAATCTTCAGCTTTGTCGAACAAAGCTTTAAGATTCTGAAATACAATAAGGCTGCTACTCCAAACCCTATTGTGATGGAGACATTTGAAGGGAGTTCTAAATATTAATAAATGTTACCTCAGTTATCGAGTTGGCATAGCATCGTGACATCGATTAAAGGCTTGTGAGGCTAATATTGCACAACCTAACCGGCAACGCATGGGGCTAATTTAGTGTTTGATAGAAAAATATGTTGATTAGCAATTTCGCAATGTGGCAGTGCAAGAGTTACGAGTACTTATGGGAACTGTTGATACATTCACACACAGATACCCTCTACAGTACAGGACCTATACGAACCATCTCACACACACACACACACACACACACACACACACACACACACACACACACACACACACACACACACACAGACAATGGCCAGGTTCAGCCAGTCAACCACAAAACTCAGTCTTTGGCTTGAAAGTGGCCTCCATCCCCAATCAGTAGCCAGCCATGCAGACACTCCATATCTATAGACCCCATCAGGCCCCAATGCACACCTGACAAAGGGAGAATCTTACAAAGAAAAAGCAATAAACGTGAAGGGAAACAAGTGGAGAGAGATATGGGGCATATCGAAGACCAACAGACAAGTCTGGTGTACACTTCTTGTAAAAAAAAAAAACAATAAAAAGAAGCATATTACTGTTTATGTATGCATGTGGCATTGTAGTAGAACTGTGCATGTAGCCTCATTTAAGCATTTGATTTTCTACAATGACACAGAGGTGCAAGTTGCTAAGCTAGAGTGGGCCACTCCATGCTACCTTTGGGCCACGTGAGTGCATGAGTGAGAGCCGAGGATACTTTGGCTGTGTGGGGGATTAGATCAGGAAGCCAAACCAGAACCACTGTGGTGGCCATGTGTGTGTGTGTGTGTGTGTGTGTGTGTGTGTGTGTGTGTGTGTGTGTGTGTGTGTGTGTGTGTGTGTGTGTGTGTGTGTGTGTGTATGTGTGTTTGTGTGTGTGTCAGGACAAGGCCTAATCACTTAATGAACACGGAACAGCACCACTCCTCTGAGCAGGACAGCCAGATCAACTAGAGGCCTTCCGCTTTCTCCCCTCTAATAATACCAGCCAACCGCGGCCTGGGAAAGCTCATGGGGGATTTAGCCCACTGGACGGTCCCAGCTGCCACTCATGATTGAGCCCGGCCCATTGGGCGCTCACAGTTGCCAAGCCAACCCTTTCCGTGGGGCCTGGGAAAGAGATCTGACAGATTAACGAATGGTTAATGGACGAATGGGATATTATGCACTGTCATTAATCTAAAATAGGTTTGGCATGGACTGGCTACACAGACGCCAGTAACCAAATGATTTCTCTAAGACAGAACACACACACACACATAATGCTGGGCCCCGGATATTGCTCCACATTTGAAACTGTAATTGGAAAAAGCAGGCCCAAAGCATTCAAAATGAATACATATCATTTAATTAGAAATTTCTCCCTAAGTGAAACATTGTTGAAATTCTCCAAATTGAAAGTCAAATTGAGGGCCACGCTGCTTGACACAAGTCATGATCAATGCTACTTCCATGGGTTCAACATCAAGGAAAATGCATCCAAATCTGCCTCAACACTCACATAAATACATCCTAAAGCCGTGGATGATCTCAGAGACACCATATCATTAAATGTCTGTACCCAGCAGACCATAGTGGCAGCTCCATAGCACAGTAAACAACCATTAGGCACTCCTGAGAGCTATCTCTGAAAGAAAGTCTGGCTGTGAGTTAGAGATCCGCCTGTAAACACAAATGATTAAATATGAGTATCAGGAAAAAGGGAGAATAGCCCAGGTGTTTTTAATACTGCATTTGTTATTAATCTGTTATGAAAGAACCAACGGGAACATCGCCTGCATTCATTTCCTCTCTTTTATCCTACTACAGTCATCACACTGCAGATTTTGCATCTAGAACTACACTGTCTATAGTTGCAACATGTTTTGGAATTTAAATTTTTATGAGATTCGTGTATGTATTTAAAATGTCCTGTACTATCTTACAGTCAAAGAGGGGCATCAGTTATGAAGGCGCACATACACCCAACACCATGGGAAGGCAAAGAGAGGCAAACTCCCATTAACAATGGGCACTTGCCAGGTGAATGAAGTGACCAGGAGAATATTTCAAGAAAGCATACTGTCTGAGAGAACACACAAAACATTTACACGCACACACGGCTGCTCAGCATGACCAGCTGGACCGGGTAGGGGAAGTAACGCCTATTGTAGCCGTTTTAGACAACAGATGGGAGGAAAATCTCTCGGTGGAGAGGAGATGAGGGGAAAAGTCTCTGACTCTCTCTCTGTTTAAAGGGTGGTGAGCTTACAGAGCATGCTGCATCACTCCTGCCGTCGCTGCCTACACAGGGCTGTGCCTGCCTCTCCTTTCACATGGCTCCTACTGGCTGCATGTAGTTGACCGCAGAGGATTCTCACTGTTACAGTCACCACTGCTGACAGCAAGGCCCAACTGAATGGTACTCATACCCAAAACAAGCCATACCAACATATAAGCATCACCTAAAACAGCATGAAACATTAGAAAAATGAAGTCCTCTCTTACCACTAATTGTTCATGTGTCATGCAACTTTGACAAAATGCAGTGTCATTGCTGTCTATGCTGATATAAAGCATGTGCTCATTATTCAAGAAGCCCAGTTACATCCCCTGGGGTATATGTATATAGATCAGTGTAGCTCTTATTTCCCAGCTCTGTGAGCAGCTCATGGTGTAATCTGCCAAGGTGGGACCCTCTACTTCATATCGGAGGAAAACCCACGTATTGCAGTCAGAGCCTATAGGAGGAACGCTTGCCTCCCTGCCTGCCTGCGGACTAAGAATAGATCAATGTATCAGGCAAATCGGGATTAACGGCGTTGTGCTCCAATCACAGGACACACACACACAAACAGGGTAGTCAGGACACAAAAAGTTCCTTTTCAAAGCCAGTCACACTGTCATCATTTTTGGCGTTGGCTGGTTTCCACGTTGCTCTGCTCCTGGACACACACACACATACACACACACACACACCCAGTCCAACGCCAACGCACAACCAACAAATCAGTGTAAAGCAACATCACCTAAATCCCCCACAGCCTCCACCAGCTCGTCCCACTGTGTGAACAATGATTATGTCAGCTCGCCGAAGAAATAACAACCTTCCCAAAATTCCCCCACAAGGCTTGGCAGGTGTTTGTAACTAAGCGGTTAGTTATTTATCACCTGCAGACACCCAAGCCGGCCAAAAATTTCAACTCGCTGCGGAGCGCACCGAAAATAAATTGTGCAATTAAAGGGGATGCAGCGAGCAAGCTGTCCCAACTAACCTGTCTGTCCTTTCCCGAGCGTCTTCTCCAAACGGTAAGGTCCCACGTAATTGGCATGTTGGGCACCGCTGTTGTCTTTACCGGACGATGACATGTCGAATCTGTGTGGAAATTAGACACTTTACAATAAAGCGCAGACAATTAAACAGTCCTCGCTTGAGGTCCAAGCCGCTGCAGTCTTTGCTTTTACTCCACAGCCTCTTCTCTTGCTCTCCGTCTGTCTCTTTCTGTCTCTTTTTCCCTACCTCACTCGCTGTTTGAGGAGGTGAGGTTCTCTCTTTCTCTCCTCTTTTTCTCCTATCGCTGCAGACGAGCCGCAAGTGCCTTGAATATCATTGTCGGCGGAGGCTGCGCTGCCGCGGTGCGTCTGTGGGAGGTGCTGCGGAGCCGTCGGGGATGATTGACAGCGGGATCCGGCCAACCAGAGAGCCGGATTAGCCTCTACGCTGCCGCCCCGTTTCTTGTTGCTGGAGCATCTTTGCTCTCTTTCCAGAAAAGTTGCAGTTTGCGGTCGAGAGAGTTAAAAACCCACATAAGCTCATTTTACTTTCAACATAATTATTTTAGAGCAAAATGGAGTCGCCTACACAGAAACACACTCTAGGGCATAAATTATTTGACTGGATTTATCAGGGAAACAATTAAAGCTGTTGAAAATAGAAGTTCAATCAGTTGAGATTTTGACACCGTTTATTTTAGAAAAGAAACAGATGTGTTGAAGGACATAAAGAGATACTGTTTTTTGAATTGTGGCTAATGTATGAAAAAGTTCAATTAGCCTACCTTTAACATTCTTAAAATGACACTCCTTTCCCCTCTTTAGAGTCGCAAATCCAAGAAGAATCTATGAAATATTGTTCATTTTAAAAAGTTGTTTGTACATCGGGTCATGATTGGCACAAACTAGTTAACTAGAAAATCATACATACATGTTACATTTGAGATTAAAAACGTTCCCTCTTCAGTAGATGACTGTGAGAACAGCCCTCCAGTATTAAACTCTGCACATACAACATCCTGCACAGTGAAGGTCAAATATCCAAGCAACCTTAAAAACAGTGAGTTAAGAACTGTTGTGGTATCACCTTTTCTTTTTTATTTCGTTTTGTCTTTTTTTATGTGTCTAGTTTTGCAATGAAAACTGGAGCACATATTTGTTGTTGGACACCTACTAACCCCCCACCCAATGCCCTCTGTACAATGTGTAGGTACCTCCAAGTTCCCATAAACTCCAACCAGTACTCCTTTTCTGGAATAACAATTCAAAATTAATTTGTGGTCTTTTAAACATAATTTTATTCATGAATAGACATCATGTGATCACACTATGAACTTAAATAATAAAGCCCATAAAGCTATAATATACTTTATACCTATACTTTAGAGAAGCAAATTCCTTAACAAATTTGAAATTAATCAAATTACCAGAAGCAGCTGCATGAGTTTTGGGGCCCCTGGGGGGTCCAGAGCATTGGGGCAGTAGTCTGCTTTGCCCAGCTAGTAATCCAGCCTAAAGCCTGAACTGAAATGTTGAAACTACCCCACCATTTACACCAAACACCATCTCTCAGCAGAAAGTGTTAAACCATTTATAAATATTTATACTAACTTTATTTTCTGAGGTCCTTTTATTATTGCAGCAAGTGAATTATACAACAGGAGAGTTTCTTGTCTCTGTCCCCTCCTCTTTCTTTTTCTGTGTGCTTGTCTTTTTTACCCCTTTCTCTCAGACACACACATACACATCACACAAACACAAGTACACAATGATGTGCGTGTGTGTGTGTGTGTACAGCAGGGGGAAAGTGTGCTGGCCCTCTGATTCATTTCACACCCCACTGGTCTGAGACCTGTGACTGTGGCTCTGGCCTCTGTCTGTTCCTCACACCCTAAGAGAGTACAGGTGTCAGGGGACACATACATGAGAAACACACACAGATATTCACACACAAACACACAATGTGACCTCTAAATATTTTTTAACAGAATACAAGGTTGAGGAGCTGTTGAAATATTAAGCAGAATTACATCAACACCAAAGCCAAAGACATTCCAGAAAGATTCCCAAGCTTTCCTCTTAATATTCACACTACTGAATTAGCATCATTGCATTTCAATAATTCATGGGATAGGAAATTATATTACAATAATGCATCATCTAATTTCTATTCATATTCGCTCTGCACACAAGACAAAACACAATTTTGTTAAATATTACACAACTGCCCTGTGTTGTAAACTTAAACAGGCAGTTACAAGCCAAGTAAGGAAATACAATTATATTTAAGGTATAAATCCTAATAGGTGCAAGAGAAATATTCACAACTAGACACATCTTACTCAATATACCAGCAGAGTAAAAGAGGAAATGCATTGCAATGGTTCAAAAGAACATATTCTGCCTCCTCACTTTTCATTCATGAAGCAAAGTTTACAAACTGCACATGCCCCAGTTTAGTGCCTTTGAGGTCTGTGTTGAGCATGTGTGCCATTTCCCCTGATGCCCTTCATCACGATGGGAGCTGGGTTGTGCAGGGAGGTGTGACCCAAAGTGTCACCCACGTGACTGCACGGTGCCAGGTGGACCGGGCATGTGATGTCAGAGCCAGGTGCCAGGTGGGCACCATCTCAATAATGCATCATGCCCAGTGCTGGCACTGGCAGGCGTACCACTTTGAAGTGTTCCAGAAACATCTGTAGCTTGAGTTTTTAATCACCTTGCCTGTACCTCCCTGCTCCCCATCAATCCTTCTCAGCTCCTTCACAGCCTAGATCCCTCTCTCCCTCTTCCCTGCAAAGAAATTAATGAGAAGGCTTGTGTTTGAGCTTGTGTGTTCCTGTGCGCATGTGCATATTTACATGTGTTAACCCACAGAGCTACCACGCTGTAAAATTCAATCAGCAGGATAAACATAATTCAAAATAGCTCCTTGTCTTCTGGATGTTTGTAGAATATTCAGCTGGGCAAGAATTATCAAAGAGTCCTGTTGGATAACACAAATTTACCATCAGCCAAATAACAATCGCCTGCCTCCGATACTCCACAAGACGTGCATACTAATAGCCCCTTCCCAGACAACCAATCAGACTAAACAATGCTGTAATAAAAAGGAAATTATGGAATATTGTGTACAGTACCTGACCTCTTTGATAGATTTTTTTTTTAACAAAAATCTGTTTGCTTGAGAGGGAGAGGAGATGAAAGATGAGGTGTGCCAGAGAGGGGAAAAAACTGAAGTAGAGATAGTGAGAGAGAGGTTTACAAAAAAGTGGAACATATTTGATGTGTGGCAAGAGTCCAATAACGTCTGGATGTAAGAGGGAGCCCAGACTGCATAATAGCTCCACCATACTACCATATAATGAATAGCTGAGCCCGACCAGTTCAACAGGGGGCTGTAAACACATTACCTTTCACTAAATGTGTGCACGTACACAACGGCATGCGCGCGCACAAATTGGTAATACTACAATGTTTCGACCCAGGAACAACTGCTACACATACATGTGAACTTTCAGCCCTTTAGGGTTGTACAAACTGGTTACTGCCAGCTAGCCCGTTGCTGGAAGCTGTTTGCCATTACTGCACTGGCCAGCATGGTGTGCTTGATTAATTAGTGTGTCATCCACATACAGAGGAGACTATTAGTGTTCATCTGCAAACATTTAGAAAACTGGAGAGGAGAGAAATGAATGAAAGGGCAGTGAATGTGTGTTTTGGGGATGACCAGACTTTTGCCTGACAAGTCATCTGTTGGTTTTTTCAGCTTGTGTACAGAACACAAACTAAAGGGGCGTAAGAATTTAAAGAAAGGAGGAAGGCATCATGGACAGAAAAAGTGACAGCAAGGGAGATAAAGTGAAAGAACCTGATCAGGTGATACCGTTTCTCATGATACAGATAGCTATCCTCTTACTGCAGACACAAAGAACTGGGGAGAGGTCAAGAAGGGCACACCTAAGGGAAACAATAGGGCAAGTTACTTTTTCCATAGTTTCACCTGGATCACTGTTAGAGGCACATGATAGACAGCAAGGTTTTAATTTCCATCCCTATTTTCAAAGGAAAAAAGGTGAATCATAAATAGAAAGGATAACTCCATATAATCCACAAAGACTTAGCTTTTAGGGTAACACAAGGAGGGAGGTTCTGTGTGCAGAGCAGGAATGTGTCTTGCAGTCACATGTATGTGGGATAAAATCTCATAATCATTCACACTGGAGGACACTTGTGCACGTCTCCAGGTCTGCATGAGGACTTTGGAGTGTGGGACACTTGAGCCCTGGCCACTTCTGTATGCAAATGAGCTGGATGAGACATACACATGTGCACACACACACATATGTTCAGCGATCCAGCATGTTCATGTACCATGATCAGTGGTCGGTTGGAGTTCATTTCAAATGTCACGACAGTATGCTGGTTATACACTGACATGCCCATGAGTGAGGCTGTGAAGGGAATACTCACCGGAGGGAATAAGCCTCTCCCTCACACACACACACACACACACACACACACACACACACACACACACACACACACTCATAAGCACACAGCTGCAGCTCCACTGCCCCCTGCTGGTTAGAAAAATGCTTCTTTCACCCCATCCCCTCTCCTGAAACCCCCAACCTCCCCCACAGGGACATCCAAATGCTCTAAAAATAAAAATATGGAACACAAATTGTTCCTCTGCAATTATGGCAATAACACTTTTAACTAGATTTTGGAAAGGACCGATCTTGGCAGAACAACAGAGACTATCTTTGGATTTTTTCACATCGCACTCTGTCTCGAACGTCTCACCTATCTCTACTGACATCATGAAGTCACAACCACAGTCATCTGACCCAGTTTACTTCTGTTTCTTCTCTGTGGTGCTGCAGCCTTCAAACCCTGAATGGCTCCCTTATCTGGCAAAATATGCTCTAGAATAAAGGTAGATTTCTCTGTACCATTGTGAGTGTTCAGATAGAAAATTGGATCCCTGTACTGCAAAGCCAAGAACCAGTTCAACAAGCCCTAAAAAATTACTTTTTTTTTTTTCACAATTAAGCACTTAACACAGGTGGTGGACGGTGGAGCTGCAATTAATGTGGTTAGTTTGGAAAGAATACAGCAAAAGCCCATTTGTTAGTTTTCATCCCCATAATCATGCACATTGATACCTGAACACATACAAACACACACACAAACACACACACACACAGACACACAAAGCAAGCATTTCTTCTTTAATCATAGCTTTTTGCCGTTGCAAAGAACATAATTGCAGTATAAGAAGCAAACTGTTAGTAATCATGTAGAGGGTTTGGCTGTGTCGTTGG